CCCTAGACAATAGTCATCTTGAGCTGAAAATCCACTTAAAACACCACTTTCAAAGTTTAGAAACTACTGATATAAAAAGAAACAGTAATAAATAAGAGTTGTCCAAGTGTGCAAGAGGCACCTTCCTCCCTCTTTATAGTCAGAGAGGCTCTAAGTGTATTTTCAGTTTAACCTAGTTTCTTTTTTATCATTTAACATTCTATTTTGATGTGTCCTGTACTTCCTGTTACTACATCTTGATATTCTACTGCAAATCATGACTCATTCTTAAGTCACACAGAAACTCATCAAAATCCCAAATTTCACAGTGCACATGAATTCTGTCTTTCAAGAGGGCAGCATTCTTAGAACATTACTTGGAGCCACAGAGACAAAAACACTGAACAAGTCCATGTAGAAATTATGTCAATCCACTGTTGAGTCAACACATTTATTGGATCAATAAATACAAGCTCTATGTGTGGCAATTTTGGTCTCAGTACTAGTTATGAAAGTGTGTTACATTATCTGTTGCATTAAAGTAAGTTACAAAACATAGTGTGATTCCAATTAAAAATTGTATGTAGTGTGCAAGTATGTGTATGTATACCCACACATGCATTTTCAAAGACCAGAAAAATATACACCAAAATGTTAACAGTGGGATAATGAGAGAGGTTTATTTTTCTTTTGGTCGTTTCCTGAGTCTTCCTCAGTCTTCCTCAGGTAATTCATATTAATATTTTTATAACAGAAGAACAACAATTAACCTTTAGAAAATTGTTAGGCTATTGTTTACCTCCAATATGTTATTAATCAATGTATGAAGGTGAAGAGTAATTATGGATTAAGTAGGACCTAAAAAAACTCTTGCCTGAAATACACAGAAAATCTGACAGGAGGGGGCGGGTCCTTCATTCAAATGATCTGTGCAGCATGTGTGTCTGTTGTAGGGGGTACAAGCCCTTAGGTAAAGGCAGAAGCCAGTTGCCTGAAGCCGGGACACAGCCAGAACAGACAAAAAATCCTTTTTTTTTTAATTTTTAATATTTTGTATCCCTTTTTTTGGTAATTTTGTTTTTGTTTTTTTTTTCCTTTGTTTTGTAATGTTTTAATTTTTTTATTTTTTATTTTTTATTTTTCTTTTTTTTAAAAATTTTTTTTTTTTTTAATTTTTTTTCTTTGGGTTTTTTTTTGTTTTTTTTTTTTTTTTTTTTGGTTTTTTATTTGTTATTTTTTTTTATTTTTTTTGTTTTTTTAACCAGATAAATATATAAATATAATTGGGTAGCAGAAAACACACAAAACCCAGTATCTGACAGCTAAGAAAGGGATATTTTAATTTGTATGTGCTGCCTGGAAATCCTTTAAAGCTGATTTCAGGAAGAGAGTCAAGTTCCAAAAAGTTATTACAAATATAAATTACAATATATAATCTCAGAGGTATATATACTGTATATTAGCAGTTTTGAATTATTAAAGTTTTTGAATTAAAAAAAAGGTCTTTGACAAATGTTTAGGAAACTCCAACATTCAGATGGGGCTGAAAAATTATTGCTTCCCCTCCCTATCTGGGCTTTTGCCATTCAGGTCTAAAAAAAGCATTTAGTACCAAGTGAGTGAGAGTCAGAGATGGTCCCCTCAGCTCACAAAGCTACACCATCACAATGTCATCATTTCCATGTCATTCTACTGCATATTACTGACCAGAAAGAAAATGCAGAGAAAATTAATGCATACTATGTTACATATGTGGCAGAAAAGTGCAACTAATAACTTTTAAATGTCCTATTTGTTGAATGAATGCATATAAAAGTGTTATCAACATCATCATCAATGTAAACAAGAGTTTCTCAATCTGTGCACTACTGACATTTGGGACTGCAAAATTCTTGGGGTTGGGGAGGCTGTCCTGTGCATTACTGGATGTTTAGCACCATCCATGACCTCTGCCACTAGGTGCCCGCAGCACTTCGCTGGTTATGACAACCAGAATGTCTCCAAATACTGCCAAATGTCCTGGGGGGGAGAGGGTAATTACTCCCAATGAGAACTATTGATATAGATTAATATTATGCATTTCAAATAATAACTTACTGGGATGAAGAATTCTAATTACCTTCTTTTTGTTTTGAAGGACATATAGTCTTGAGAGAAGAATATTTACAATTTCCATCCTGCAGGAATGCTCATGCATAGGATGTTAGCCTTGGACAGCTTTTTTTTCTTACCTGTTTAAGTTCTGTTGTCCTATTCTCAGCTTTCAATGCAACAATTTATTGAGCATCTACTCTGTGCCAGGCACAGGGTTACGGACATCCTGTACTCATGTCCACTGACTCACTCCCTGGTCAGGCTGGTTGGCCTGTTTCTCGGACATGCTTTGCCACCACAAAAGAAATGCCAACACCTTAAAAACCCTCAAGAGAGCACGTCCTTGACAAAAAGGGGCCCCACTGTTCCATTTGGGCTCCTTAAAACTCTTTATCCCATTTAGTAACTCTACATATTTTCAACATTTAAAGGTTTGAAAAGAAAGGGGAAAAGAAAAAGGCCAGAGGCCTTTGCTATATTTGGCATAGAAAGAACCTCAGGGGTGGTGCAGGCAGGATCATTACTGGAAACTCTAAGAACACTTATGGACAGTCTTCTTAACTGTCTGACCCAACGTGCCCTCCTAACACAATTTGTAATTTTATAATCCCCATAAATTGAAAGTCATAACTGACCTTTCCCAAATAAATGTGTGTCACTGAGAGAGAGAGCAAAAGGGAGAAAGATCCAGGGGTATTTTGTTTGGCTATAGAGCAAAAAGGCTCAGAAATCGATTTGAGCTCATTAGTAGATGCCTGGAACTTGCTTGGTTTCTCCTCCCCTCCTGCTCCTCCCGCCCCCAAAGACTGAAGCAGCGACTGGGAGGATGAGTATGGATGCTTGGGTACTAGGAACACACACACACACACACACCTGGGAAAGAAGGCCTGTTAGAGCACACACACACACACACACACACACACACACCTGGGAAAGAAGGCCTGTTAGAGCACACACACACACACACACACACACACACCTCACACACACTACACACACACACACCTGGGAAAGGCGGCCTGTTAGAGCGCACACACACACACTACACACACACACACACACCTGAGAAAGAAGGCCTGTTAGAGCACACACACACACTACACACACACACACCTGGGAAAGGGAGCTTGTTAGAGCACACACACACACACACACTACACACACACACACACACAGACCTGAGAAAGAAGGCCTGTTAGAGCGCGCGCGCACACACACACACACACACTACACACTACACACACACACACACACACACACACGGGAAAGAAGGCCTGTTACAGCACACACACACACACACACACACACACACACACACACCTGGGAAAGAAGGCCTGTTACAGCACACACACACACACTACACACACACACCTGGGAAAGAAGGCCTGTTACAGCACACACACACACACACACACACACACACACACACACACACACACGGGAAAGAAGGCCTGTTAGTCCGAAATTCAAAACAGCCAAAGTGACTTCAAGTTTTCAAGATGCTACCCTGCAAAGGTTGGCTGGGCGGCTGCACCTCCAGGTAAATAAAGCCGTGACTTGTCTCCCTCCTCGGCGCAGGGCTCCACCGGCTGACAGTGGCTGCACAAAACCCCTCCTGTGCCGAGCAGCGGAAACTCCTAATGAGATTAGTTGGTGTGTGTGCAGACATTACTTAGCAGTGACTAAAGGGGCTCTCTCTTCCTGCAGCAGCCAGTGGAAAATTCAGGGAACTTTTTCCCCCCGCAGCAGCAGAATCTCTTAACTCTCTCCCCAGCCAACTCCGAAAACAACTCGACTCCCCGGCCCTCCCTCTGCGGGCCGGGGTGCAGGGGGAGTTAAAGACCGGCCGGGGGCTTCCAGAGCGGGGGGTGGGAGGGCGCCGGCGGGGAAGGGGCGGGGGACCCCTCCAAACACTACAAAGGAAACTGTAAAAGACACAAATACATAAACCTGGGAAGGAGCAAACCACAGTTTCTTTGTGAGCTCCTCTAGTGAGTCATTTTCAAGATGCTGTCTGCTGCCAGTTTCAAAGCGGAAGCGCATGGCAATTAGTCTTGCCGTTTCCAGACAAGCCAGAAACTCTCCCGACACTCGTTTTTTTTTTTTTTCTAAAAAGCCCCTTTTGCAGTTTCTGTAATAACATTTCTTGTTCCCACCCCCAACCCGCCGCCTAACTGCAGCTTGTCCTCAGGATGATTCGGTTCAGAAAACATAACAAAACCGAGACCTCCTGTTTTTCTTTTTTAACCTTCCAAAATGTTAATTCCTCCTCCCCAAAAAGTTACAGTAGCATTACAGGCCAACATTTCAGCCGTAAGCTGGAGAGCCCCTTCCTAATGAGCGGGGGCGCCAAGACCCTGTCCTGCTCCAAAACCGTCTCCAGTGAAGGCTCGGCCGGCTTTTAAAGGTCCGGCTGGGCGCGCGCCTAGGTTGGTGACCCGGACGGGGGTCACCTGCCGAGCGAGTGGACGCAGCCCCCAGCCCCGTCTTCGCTCCCCTCCACCTCTGTCCTCTCCGGAATCCGGGCACCGGTGCCCACTGCCACCCCGTGGGGAGCCCCAGCCCCAGCTGGAAGGCCAGCGGCGGTCCAGCCTCCAGGCCCGCAGCCTGCTCCGGTCACCGTCCCTCCCAGGGACCCCACGTCTCACCGTCCCTGCTCCCCGCGCGCCCCCTCCTCTGGGCTCGCCGCGCAGCTCCAGGGCGGGGTGTCGCCAGCGCAGGGTGGCCGCTGCCCCCGGCGCGGCGCGCGGACGCGGCGTGGGCTTCGCAGCATCCCGGCCGCGCCCCCTCCCAGGCCCGCCGCCCACCCCGCGGCGCCCACCCGCCCCACCCCCACCAAGCCAAAAGGATAGAACGACGGAAAAACCACCCCCAGCCAAACTTTGCAACTGTCCGAGCAACAGGCAGAAGAAAACCCTTCTACCTACCCAGATGTGGGGGAGCTTTCAAGATCCTTCTTCGGGGGAATTTCTAGGAGGAACCGGGCGAAAGCCCCCGACTTTCCATGCTGACAGGCGTCTGCAGACGGTCTGTTGCTCTTGTAATGAGATCCTGATTTTTCCCCCTTTTTTTCTTTCTCTCGCTCCTCTCTTTTTTTTTTTTTCCCTCTGGTGTGTGTGAGAGCAGGAAGTTGGAGCAGTCAGGCCGAGCCGGCTCACTTCCTTTACTGCATTATTCCCCAGGCGGTGTGCAGTCTGTGTAAACAGGCTTTTCCGCCCCGCGCCGCGCGCCCCGGCCGCGGCTGTGCGCCGGGGCTGGCCGCCGAGGCCCGCGCATTCTCCGCCGCCCGGCCCCGCTCGCCCCGCACCGCGCCCGCGCCCCGCCCGCCGCGCTCCCCGCTTCCTGCTCGGCCACCCCAGGGGAGGAGCCTCCGGACCCTCAGCGACTCCGAGAGGCCGCAGCCCCTCCCCACGGCGGGTGGGGGCCAGCCCGGCCAGAAACCCGGGAAGCTGCCCCCAACGCGCCCGGGGCCGATCTTGCGGACGCGCGTCTGGGGATCCCTCCTACCCCACGGAGGTCTCTGCGCTGGGGACTGCCCTGGCCACTGCAGAGGGGTCCTGCCTGGCCCAGCTGGCCTGGGCATGGGAGGCCGAAGTGGGGAGGCCGCTGGACTTGCTGTTTCCTGTTAGCTGGGGTGAAGGTGTTGTGTGGCACAGGGGGACTTAGGGAATGGGGTTCAGGGTTTGGTAGCTCTGGCAAAGGGACGCTTTTATAGGTGGTGGTGTTGGAGCGTGATTGCTTAGGATGGGATGTTGGATATGCAGTAAAGGAGGCACGGTTTCTGTCTGGGGATGGACACAGTTCCTGCCTGGCCTTTAAAAAGAAAAAAAGAAAAAGCCAGCACTGGAGTAGGGGGCCCGCTTTGGGGAAAAGGATGAGGAGCCATAAACTGGAAGCCAGGATTCTCCAGGAAGAGACCTTTCTGGCCGTTCACTATGGCCTACCACAGGCCCAACCTTACTTTCCTGCTTGCTAAGGAGCTCCCGAGGGAAATGAGTAGCCCCCACGGGCCAAGTGAGGCTGCAGAGGGAGGCTCTGTGGTCTCAACACAGGACTCCACATTGCAGTATTCCTCAGGGACGAGGGCTGTCCCCCCGCAAGGGCTCAGGCCAGGCTCTGACTGGAGAGCCTGACCATAGCTGGGACACTGAGAGTTCCTCACCCCCAGCCCTCTGCTCCAACCCCAGCTGCACACCTTGGGGAACCCTCCATCTCCATGCCTCCTCTCTGTGGCCCGGCCCACTTGTGGTTCTCGAACTTGAGCTCATACCAGCACCAGTCGGGGGCTTGTTAAAGCACCGGTTGCCCGGGCCTCAGAGCCAGAGTTCCTGATTCAGTGGGTCTGGGGGTGGCTCTCAGCCTCTGCTAATGCCACCACCAGGGGAGCGTGCTGAAAACTACTGATCTCTACACACAACCCACACCAATTAAGTCAGATTCCCTGGGATCTGAGTCCCTTCAAAAGGAGGCGAGCTAGGACTTCTTCCATTTTGCTTGTTTCTTATTTTTGCAATCTTTTCAAAAGTTTGTTTACAAATCTCTATTACTAACTCTGGGCATCTAAAGGACAGGGATTGTTATTTTACCCTAGTTAGTGCCAGCTCCCCGCCTGCAAGGGCCTGTCAGAGCCCCTGACTCATAGGACAGTCGAGCTCCCAGCTTTTGCATCCTGGCTGGTGTGAACAGTTCACTGAGTGGGAGAGCAAGGCCCACCCAACCTTGGAGAAGGATGGAGAATATGCGGAGTGGGGTGGGGGCATGAAGGAGAGTAGAAAAGGAGGAGAAGGTATGGGGAAGGAGGCTGTGGGTATCACCCTGATTTTCCACAGCTACTTTTCCACTTCCGAGATTATCATTTTAATCCCTAGTTGGTTCTTCCTGTCACTCAACAGAGCTCACTCTGTGTCCCTGTATGATCGATCCGGCTATCTATGGACTGGAAAAATGTAAACTTATTGTCCTTCACATGGAGAAGAAAGAAAATCTCACACACACTATTAAGAACACCATGTTGCTTTATTTTTAAAAGTGTATGCCAAAGCCAATTTTAACCATATTTTAAGCCAGTGGCTTTTGTGCTTACTGCATTTTTTCTACACATATCTTTGTAGATCTTCATATGTAAGGGAGAAAAAGTGGACATGTTTTCATCGGCAGTTTAATTGTTTAGAAGAAATGCCTCCATGTCTAAAGCACTCATGAATCACTCACAGGCAGCATTAGTGCTTCCCAGATCCGCGGAGGATCTCTTCAGTTTTTCTGGTGTTCTTAGGTTATCCACAACCACTACTCCCCGCTCTTCATACGAGAGTAACTTTTACCTCCAGGTGTCTGCAGCTTCTGTCCTTTGCTGTGTGAGGGAAAACTGCTGCCTTAGCTTGGACTGTAACAAATACCACAGACTGGGTTGCCTAAACAACAGACATTTATTCTCATGGTTCGGAGGGTAGGAAGTCCCAGATCCAGGTACCAGCAGATTTGGTTTTTGGTGAGAACCCTCCTCCCTGCTTGAAGATGACCCCTTCGTGCTGTGTCCCCACATGGCCTTTCCTCAGTGCATGCATGTGGGTGGGAGAGAGGAACAAGCTCCATGGTGTCCCTTCTTTATGACACTAATCCCATCATGAGAGCTCCACCCTCACGACCTCATCTAAACCCAGTTACCTCCCAAAGCCCCCACTTCCTAATATCCTCACGCTGGCGGGTAGGGCTTCACCGTGAATTTTAGGGAGACCCAAACATTAAGTCCTTAACAACTGCTATTTGTTTTCAGTGTTTTCCTTCTTACTATCAAAAACCAGCCAAGAGATCTGGAATTTAGTATTGTATGATCCACACTCCTCATTTATGCTTTTGTTGTAAAAACAGACAGAAGTTAGGACTGTATGGGTTATAAGTAAGGTTTCTTCAGGAGCCCTTTACAGCAGATAACAAGGCTTAGGGTCCTTCATCTCTGAGGGCTAAGAGACAGTTCAGCTCTCTCAGCTTTGGTAAGAGCAGCTGAGATCTCAGCAGATGGGAGGCAGCGTGATGTGCCCAAGGTGCTGGGGCAGGACGGAGGAGGGTCAGCCCGACTAAACCCCGCATGTGGACAGTGGGAGACTGGGTCTCCAGAAGATAATAAAGTTCTGGTTCCAAAAGAAGGGTGTATTAGTCAGTTTTTGCTGAAATAAGACAATGTAACAACCCCAACACTCAGCGGCTTAAAACAACAAATGGGTCTGGGCTGGCCGGCTTAGGTATGCTTCACACGTCTTCTCATTCTGGGACTAGGCTGAAGGAACAGATTCTACTTGGGACGTGTGGTTCTCCAGGAGGGCAGGAGCTTGAGAGGTTAGTGGAGACACACCATGCCTCCCAAGACCTTTACTTAGAACTCCCACAGCCTCACTTCAACTCACAATCCACTGGGGAAGCCAAGACACATGGCCAAGTCTAAAGTCAAAGGATTGGTGGGGAGCAGGGAGGGGAGAACCCCAAACAAATAATATGATCAGAAACAGGAGAAAATGGATATGGGGTATACAAAACAACACATCTCTCAGGTCCTTCATGATTTGACATTCCACATTTTTTAGCTATGAAAGGCTAAAAAAAAAAATACAGATGGATGAGGAAGCATAAACAGATGAGGCAGGAGAAGAAAATGAGTTTTAGAATATATCAAACTAAAATATTCTAGAATATAGCAGAACAAATAATACATGAAACTTAAGAATTGATAGTATTAAATTTACCAATTGATAAATATTGGTAGCAACTCAATAGTGGTTTGCCATCACTGCTTAGAAGACTGCCTCAATAGTGGGGTCACAGCAGTAGGGTTGGGAATGAGTAGCCACGCCCTGCTGGGAAGGCAGCCTGCTTGGGTGGGAAGTGTACATCTGGAATCAGAAATCTTGGGATCCAGTCCCATACCTGCCTTGTTCTATCTATGTTGCCTTGACCAAGTCACTCACCACCCTCTCTCAGACTGTATGAGCACCAGTTTTTACTGACTTTTACAGTGAATGCCAATTTTACATTAAAACAACATGTGTTATTGACTAGGATTCAAAAACATTCATGCACTTCATTTGAAAGAGTATTTAAAAGAATTTTATAGACTTGCAGGCAGACCCATGTAGGAGCCTGCATTCTCTCTTTTGTGGTGGTAGAGGTCTTTCAGTGTGGACATTTGAGAAGCATTGATTTGGACCATCTTTTTTGCCCTCAGACTGACCATCCATAGGCCAGAGGTTAGCAAATTACAGCCCACTGGGCCCACTGCCTCTTTCTGTATGATTTTCTAATGAGGAAGAATTGACTTTTTCTTTTTCTTTTTTTTTCAGTTTTTAATTATGGTAAAAACACAATATAAAAGTTACCATCTTAATCATTTTTAAGCATGCAGTACAGAAGTGTTAACTATAGTCACATTGCTGTGCAACTAACCAATCTCTAGAACCTTTTCATCTTGCAAAACTGAAAGTTTACACCCATTAAATTCATCTCCCCATTCCCCCTTTCGGCAGCACCTGGAAACTACCATTCTTCTTCATTTCTGTGAATCTGACTACTTTAGATATTGCACAGAAGTGAAATCATATGGCATTTGTCCTTTTATGACTGTCTTCTTTCACTTAGCATAATGTCCTCAAGGTTCTGCCATGCTGTATCATGTGACTTTTCAAGGCTGAATAATAAATATTCCATTCTATGTATATGGCACATTTCTTAAACCCAATCATCTGTTGGTGGGCATTTGAGTTGCTGCCACCTTTTGTTACTGTGAATAAGAATTCCCATTTTTTTAATGGTTGAAAACAAAGGAAGAATAATATTTTGCAGTACATAAAAATTCTATGACATTCAAATTTCAATGTCCACAAATAAAGTTTTATCAGAACACAGCCATGCTCATTCACTTACATATTGTCTAATACTGCTTTTGAACTGCAGCAGCATGGTTGAATAGTTATGATGGGAACCATTTGGTCTATCAAAGTAAAAATATTTACTTACTGACTCCTTACAGAACGTCTGTCGACCCCTGGCATAGGCCATCTGAGACAAATGAGATTCTGTCCTGGCAGAGGGGTAGGGGGTTAACTGCATTTCCTTTCTTATTGCAGAGATGGCCCTTCCTTGTCACATTGGTAAAAACCTTATCATCTATAACAAACTTCACATCTAGGAGCTTCATCTTCAAAGGAAACCAAGTCATGTGCTTCATTTAATCCTGCTTATTTGGTCTTCTGCTAAGGTAGAGAAGAGATGGCTCACACTGTCCCAGTCTGTGAAACAGCATTTCAAGCCTTTCTCTAGTCTC